CCAAATGGGCCACGACCCATCACAGGTAAGAGGGATACGGAGCTAAAAATGCTCCTACAACCCGTCTAGGCCTAGAAGTTCGAAGGTTGGCCCACCGATGGGTTCAACAACCGCTCTGGGAACCTTTAGAGTGAGGGGTGAAAAGGGATGGGCCTGCTAGTGGCCAGTACCTGGGCGCATGAGCACCACGGGCATCTCGCCCACGTCCATGGTTTTTCCTCAAAGAAAGGCAGAGAGCCCTCGGGACCGGTCGAATAAACCCGAGAACTATATGGATTGACCGCTGAGAATCTAGAGTCAGTCACCAAGCTAACCCAAGCCAGGATCCTCATGAATGGGATGCTGGGGCCCCACTTGGACTAGCTCATTAATAGCTCACCGAGCACCATGATTCGTCCATAGAGGAAAATCATGGCACGGCTCGGCCCCTCCGTTTTTATCGGAAAAAATGCTTGAGGGAAGACAATCGTAAAGACAAGCCGATCCTCGACCGAACCCCTGCTACGGGCAGGAGCTCAAGGAAAGTTGGACTCGCACGAAGATCGAATGCACAGTCGTGAACGACAGACCCCGATAGGGGTCAAAATCAAGAAAAGACCTTTTCCGACCCACCAAATCTCATGGCTATACCCCCAAGGGGTCTGATCTCGATGAAAGGTAATCACCATCCCTAGGTCACGCCATGGACAACAAAAGAAGGCCAAGGCCCTCAGAGTCCTCCCATTTAGAAAAGCCTCTGAAGGAGTATTCTACTCCTCCATAGGCTCGGGGGCTACTATCGGGGACCAATACTAGGGTACCTAAAGAGGAGGAGCTAATGACCATCAACAATGATTCATCCGAGCAGTCAAGAGCACGACCACAGCTCCAACTGACCCCTAGGCGTGCAAGCTCTGCCTCACCCGACCTCTGGGGTGGGATCCGCTTCGCGTGACCCTAAGGCTGTGGGCTCCGCCTCGCCCGACCCTAAGGCCATAGGCTCCGCCTCGCCTGACCCTTGGGTTCATGCTTCACCTCGCCTGACCCCGAGGCCACGGGCTCCACCTCGCCTGACCCTAAGGTCGTGGGCTCTGCCTCGCCCGACCCTTGGGTTCATGCTCTGCCTCGCCCGACTCTTGGGTTCATGCTCTGCCTCGCCTGACCCTGAGGCCACGGGCTCTGCCTCGCCCGACCCCAAGGCCACAGGCTCCGCCTCGCTCGACCCTTGGGTTTGCACTCTGCCTCGCCCGACCTCTGGGGGCGGGCTCCGCCTCGACCGACCCTTGGGTTCATGCTCTGCCTCGCCCGACTCTTGGGTTCATGCTCTGCCTCGCCCGACCCTGAGGCCACGGGATCCGCCTCGCCCGACCCCAAGGCCACGGGCTCCGCCTCGCTTGACCCTTGGGTTTGCGCTTCACCTCGCTCGACCTCTGGGGGCGGGCTCTCGCCTCGACCGACCCTTGGGTTCATGCTCCACCTCGCCCAACCCCGAGGTCACGGGCTCCGTCTCTCCCGACGGAGACCCATGCCGCCGCCAACCACTCTAGGTCCAAGCGTATGGGCCTGGGTCAAAACTCTGACACCAAGGAAGAGACCGGCATACCCTGATGTAACCCATGGCCATGATAGGCCATACCTAAGGATTCACATCAGGATCAGCATCGAGCGTACTGGTGCTTTCTGCCTAACCCCCGTACGAACGCTGACAGGCGCGTCAGCTCACCACAACGTCCGCTGCGATGGAATGGAACGCCATGACTGACTGACGATGCCTGCACATGGCGCTAGTGATAGATAGGGCCACGACGTGGAGCTATCCCTGTTGACATCTATAAGGTCGGTGGGACCCACATGAAGGATAAGAAGGATCCAGCGATCCTGAAGGACTCCCTCTCTCTCTCTCTGGCTCTTCTCTTTTCCTCCGTTGTAACCCGTGCTTTCCCTTGGCCTATAAAAGGGAAAGCAGTGCGTCCCATGAACGGGGATCTCGATCCGACCCTGAACCGATCAGATCCAGATACACACAAGAGCAGCAACCGAGCTCTTAGCACCCGTTCACTCCTTTCACTAGAGACTTGGGACTTGTCCCTCTCTCGCCCATTTGTAACCCATACTACAAACTTTCAGTGCTAGTAACATGAGCAGCAGCGATAAACTAGATGTAGGGACTTTTTTCCCAAACTAGTATAAACCTCGTGTCCTCTAAGCACACCATCCGAGCCAGACGCACAATATTAGAAATTTACTCATCGGTGGTAACTCAAAACACCGACACTAAGCAAACACCTCCCACTCATCTCCATCATTGATTCATCATCATAGTGAGATTAGGAGTGATTCCTCGTGTATTTACTTGAGTGATTGCATCTAGTGGCACTTGAGGATCGTTGTGGCTATAGATTTCTTGTTACTCTTGGTGGTTGCCACCACCTAGATGGCTTGGAGCAGCGGAGGAGCATTGGCACGTGTTGGTGATTGTTTGTGGCCATCTCCCGGTGATTGTGAGGGGTCTTGTACCTTCCCCGGTGGAGAGCCGAAAGGTAACTCTAGTGGATTGCTCGTGTCATTGAGTTACCTCACTTGTGGTAGGTTCTTGTGGTGCCTAGTGAAGGCTTGGTGTGGTGCCAATTAGCCGCTGAACCACCAAGTGTTGGTCGACACAACGGGGACTAGCATGCTGGCAAGCACGTGAACCTCGAGAGAAAAAATGGTTGTCTCTTGTGCATTGGACTTCTCCCGGTGATTGTCTTGGTATTCATTAATTGGTTTATATCTCTCTTGCCATGGCGATATAATCACCCTACATCTTGTATTTATTTTGTTTACATTCTTGCCTAGTCATGCTCTTTAGTATAGTTAGCCTTTGAGAGCATGTTAGTTTGGTTAGTGAGGCTCTTTAGTTAGTCTTTGAGAGCTCACTAACTTAGAGAGTAGTGACTTAGGCTTGTGTGTATCTAGGGATTATAGTAACTAAAATTGTTGGTATAGGTGGCTTGCAACCCTTGTAGAGCTAGAGCAAAATTGTATTACGCTATTTAGTGTTCCAACCAATTGCTCTAGTGAATTTGTAGAGAATTTTTATAGGCTATTCATCCCCCTCTAGACATTTAGGACCTTTCAACCATGAAACAAGTATTGTTGAGGTTTTTGCTTAAAAGATCATCATTGTATCTTGCTATTGATAGTCAAGCCATAGGACACACTTTTTTGAAGTAACAATAAAACTAAATTAAATGAAGTCTTGCTGTTTTTTACAGTGCCAACTCTCTTGCTACTCCTAACTAAAAGTATATTATTTTTATAGGAAACATTAGTGTGAGATACTATAACCATGGAGATGAGGATGAAGATGACAATGGCGGTGAAGACTATCACCACGATGGTGATGACGATGAAGGCTATGGTTCTAAAGGCCTACCTAATTTTGAAAAAAAAGATGATTTTGACCCTGGTTATCAGTTTTGGTGATGAACAAAGGAAATACACTTCTCCTTTGTTCACCAAACAATTTATCTTATGCCTAATGAACAACGGTGTTTTAGACAAGTACTTACATTCGCACATTGGTGTTTTAGACACAAAGACAACTTCATAGACATAAAAATGCATCTTAAGAGTCGGGGGTGGGGTATGTGTCACCTTGGGACAAGTTCAAGGACTTCTCACATGTTTTACTCTTTATTTTAATTTTAAAATCCAATTTTTAGTTTTTTTTAAATCATCTCGGATATTGATATGGTCTATACTAGAGTTATTGAGTTTAATATGATCTATAACTTTATAGTTTATAATTTTTTTATTTGAGACCGTTTATTAGAGCCTCGAATATTTGTTTTAAGTTCTATGATTATGAAATTTGAACTTTTAAAATTTTCAAATAACCTTGGATGGAGACACGAATAAATCTGAAACTTTTTAGTTATTTTTTTTTATCTAAGATCTTTTATAGGAACCAAATATTCAATAAAAATGGCAAGACTAAAATATATATGTGGAGCCACATACCATATCAACCAAAACAACCATCAAAATTGAGTTGGAGCGTGTTTTTAAATTTAGCAACCATATCGGACTTTAAGTTATTTGGAATATTTCTTTATAAATTTAACGTCATTTATCAAATGTAAACTGTTTAACTACTAACTAATCCAATCCCTTTGTTCGACAATGTAAAATGTTTTACCAAATTCCTCCAACTTTAAGTTTATGGAAAAAAATGCATATTTGAATCCGTAGTCGTATTGGCTGTATTTGTATTTGCTACTGTCCGTATACGAGAAGCACCGGAAACCATCTTTTTCGCCATTTTCACCTTTAGATGTCAACATCATTGACAACCTCGCCAGAATCCATGGACACGCAGAGGAGGGGAAACGGGAAATGAAAAGCAAAGAAAAAATGGGAAAAAGGAAAAAGTGAAAGAAAGAAAAAAAAAAATTGAAAATAAAATATATAAAAACCTTCGCGTTAGCTACAGTGTCCAACAGTACCGCAGCCCTGAGAGGCCAGGAATTCCTGGCGTGTTAAAGAAATATATATATATATATATATATATATATATATATATATATATATATATATATATATATATATATATATATATATATATATATATATATATATATATATATATATATATATATATATATATATATATAGTTAAGTTATGGTTATAGTTATACACGAAACCGAGTAGGAGAAAATGAGCAGCATTGTTGTAAGGGCAGATGCCCAGATACGGGGAAAACAGAAACCATGCGGAGCTAGTTACAAAAATACCAAAGGTTACGGCATACATCTCATAACCTGAAACGAAATGGTTTTATTCTTTTAACTCTCAAAAGTACCCTCCCAGACCAGACCAATAGAACACTATCTCAACAAGCGACACCACATCCATCCTACAATCCTCCAGTATACGATAACATAAGTAAACTAGGAACAGGAAAACTTTGGTATGGAGCTAATGACATCATGGGCACAAATGTACACACAGGGAAGGTATCGCCAGTGGTGGAAGCTCAGGGAATGGAGGCGAAGGTCGGCAGCAGCCAGCCGCGCTCTGTTGCGAGCTCCACATACTCTCCAAACTTCTCCTGGGCATTCGGGATGTCGAGGATCAGATCATCAAGGCCTTCCTTGACACGAGCAAAACCTTTAGTCATCTGGTTGATGGTTATCAGCCCCTCACCAAAACACTCCTGCAGCAGGGCCAAGATGCTGGTGTCATTCTGCTTCTCCATCGCCATGACTAGTGCCTTCTTTACCACCTCATGGTTGAAGAAGGGCATCCCAAGATCACGGATGCATCTGCAGGCTTCTCCCAGGTCACCACCCGTGTTGTATTCCTCCAAGAGCTTAGTGATCTTGTCCTTGGCATCTTCCACAGCCCATCCAGTGCCACCACCCCAGCACCGCAGTATCCGCTCACCAGAGTGGCGAGCTGACAGTAGGGCACGGGCCATCTGAACAGTTTGGCTACCACTGCTGTTCGGGCGAAGCTTAATGCTGATTTCATCCAAATTCAGCGGAATTAATACTTCATCAATCACTGCCCTAGCTAGGAAGAGGGCAAGTTCACTTGGAGCATCCACAATGTCAAGGGCAGTGTCTTCGGCTGACTGCAAGAGCATTACAAACCCCTTCATGATGTCTTCAGTCGAAAACAATTCTAATCTCAGTGAAGAAAGGAGTACAGAGGCCATCTCCTTCTCTCTACTCTTTCTGTCCATAGCAAGTGTGACAAGCTTCTTGAGGAAAATGGGATTGAATTCTGGAGCAGAGAGCTCTTCAAGGCTTCGAATAAGTTCTGGGACATCGTCTGAGAGAAAATACTCATGAATTATGTGGCCAGATTCTTCTTTAAAACGCTTCACCTTTACAGCACTTGTATTTTGCATCTCTTCGTCAGGGGCAGCAGATTTACCAAAAGAAGCATCAAGCCATCCTTCAGATATAGCTGTTGAAACCAGCTTGTCAAAAAGAGCTTTAGCAGAAGGAATATCAAGACTCAGGTCATCAACACCCTCAGCTAGTCGAGAAAAACCCTTTGAGATTTGATTAGGACTGATCAAGCAACCTGCAGCTGCCTCCTTCAATAACTTAAGGATTAATGGCTGCGAGGATATGTTCTCCATACCAAAGGTGAGAGCACGCTTCACAACCTCATGATGGAAAAACGGAAGGCTAAGCTCTCTTATACACCTAAAGGCTTCATCTATGTCTCCACTCTCAATATACTCTCTGAGAATATTCTGAATCCTCCTTTTTGCTTCTTCTACAGTAAAGTGTGTGCTTCCACCCCATTTGCGTTCGACCAACTCTGCATGGTGGGGAGCTGACAAATAGCTCTTTTGAACAACCTGCAGAACTTGAATGCCTTTGGAAAATTCTGGAAGTAGTGCTCTAGCTCGAGTGAGGAAAACAGGAGGTAAAATTTCATCAACAATAGCCCGTGCAATAAAAACTGCCAAGACATCAGTAGCATCTGGTATATCAACAGTCAGATCTTCTGTAGACTCCAGAAGCATCATATAACCTTCACTGATTGTGTAGGAGCTCAGTAGATCAGCATACAAAGAAGATAACAGAATTGATGCCATTTCTTTTTCTTTGTCATGGCGATCCATTGCCATAGATATGAGCTTCTTCACAAAGTAATAATGAAACTGATCAGATCCAAGACCCCTTAGCTCAGAAGCTGCAAATTCCACATCTCCTGTACTAAAATACTCCTCAATTATTGGAACTACAAGCTTTCTATAGTCATCTAATGTACCAGGAATCTGCATTTGAATTGATACAGAGCATTGTTAAATAAGCGTACCATATCAACAAATAATAAATGAAAGCAACATCATGGAGTGTATATCGAACCTTGCTATTCCCATTAGCTAGTTTTTTCAACTCTTGAGATGGTAAAGAATCAACACCTTCATGATTGTCTTGTTCAGTTTTCCCACCACCACCATCTGAAATAAAACCATGGAGTTAGGTGATACCAGCATGAAAGAAACCCTCCTAGAAAAGCATTGCATGTAGTCAAACCACACTAAAAAAAATCACATAACCAATTCATCATTACCGCTTCTAAATATAAACATGCCTCATACATAACCATTTCATCACCATCACTTCTATATATAGATAGCCAGGTTTTGCGTGCTCTAGACTATAAATTTTAGTAACTTGCTCTACTTATTTTCTGGCAAGACGTGACACAGGCTAAATACAAGTATCAAGCCTTACTGATCATCACAATTTGCATCGCAATAGCAAATAAATGATTCTCAGTTGCCATGTTCACAAATTCATACTGCAAAGTCACAAACATGTAATCAAGAAATGTGCAGATGATTTTAAAATAAAAATGCCAAAACAAGACATTGAAACACCAAGTTAGACATGGCTTGCTAAGAGCCAAAAAGTTAGGCATTCATAATAAACAGTTAAATATTGTCTAGACAGCCACAGCTGAACATGATATTTAAGAAATGGATCATACAACCATGCCACTGAAACAATGACACCAAAATTTTAAGGGTGCGCATATCACATAAATTTCATTCAGACCACAAGGGTTGTTTGCGAACAAAAAAAAAACTACCCAATAAACTACCTTCATATAACTTGAGGTTCACAACAAATCATAGTTAACCTTTTTACAGAAAAAAGAAGGAAAGGCACATACTTTGGGTTTATCCTATGGCAGCTTTGTGCTCAAACTTAAGTATCCCCAAACACTTAGCCATAAATATCTATTGGTTGTGAAACAAAAGAACAGAAACTTCAACATGTACTGAAATTTGAAGCTGACAAATGCATAATAATTGCTGGCCCATAGCACATCATTACAATGTAACTTCCAATTAGAAGAAAAAAAAATCAACACTATAGAGTGTTTTGACCCTTTCTGTCAATTAAAAAAATGTCATCAGTACCGACAGAAGCTTGGTCGGCTTTAAGCTCAAGCTTAAGCCACTCCAAAGATCTGATGACATAGCAATCAATCATGGAGTATTTGGGCACTATTGAAAATCTGACCAATGAGTTACCAAATGCACGAACTATTTCCCAAAGGAAACAGGGGCGCTCTAACTTTGTTGAATTTCTGAGGTGCAAGGATTTTGCTTCATAACGAAATCAAGGATCCAATCATTTTGGACAAGTGCACGAGAGCCTAGAATCACTAGACACCATAGCCAAGAAACTCTAGCATCATGAACCAAAAAGAATCAGACACAAGTAATTTTCCTGCCACACAAGCAGCAACATTAAACCAATACTAAACAAAAAAAAGGACACTACTACGACCCGCGTGAGCAGGCACACACGACTCCGTCCAAAAGCCTCCTCCTTCACCCGTGCTCATCGCCTTCTTCCTCGGCGTTCGTCTTCCTCCTCATGACCCCTTCCTCCCCAACCCCCACCTCCTCCCCTGCCGCCCCCGGCCAGCGGCTCCTTCGCTGCTGGCCGCGCCACCCACCTCTCAGCCCCGCCCTCCTCCTCGTCTTCGTCCTCGCCCCCGCCGCTGCCCACTGCCCCCGCCCATGAGACCTGCTTCTTCCCCCCCCCCTCCGCTGCCGCCATGGCTATGGGCGCCCCCACCCCGACCTGGCCTGGCCACCAACTACGCCGCTGGAACCCTAATGCCGCCCTCCTGCCGTCCCCACCACCTGGCCGGACTGCCTCCCCCGAGCCCCTTCTAAGCCCGCCGGAGTTGAGAAAGAAGAGAAGGCGAGCGCCATCGCGATACAGCGCGGCCTTCTTATCCGGAGGTGGCGGGTGAGTTGTCCTGGATTTTTTTTTTTTTTGTCTTCTTGTACATGCGCAGCGGAAACGTTCCCTCGCGGGCGTGCGGAAATAAGCATTTCGAAAAAAAAAGAAACAATCTTAAGTCACTAGCATTCATGCTATGCTGAAATATACCCACCCGCTTCAAACACATCACTGAACTTGATTGAAGATAACCTATTTGCACGCAGGGCAACATGGATTGGGCAGCCCTAACGGCAACAGATCCCTCTCCTATCATGACCAGTGCTGACCATAGGGGAAGCATCTAAGGGCCAAAACCTCAAGCAACAACAGAACCAAACATTTCCAGTCAAGTTCAGTATCTACAGCGACTCTAAACATTTATTTGGCCACAGTAGCATCTCATAACACAATCGGTGCTTAGGAGAGCGAAAGATATACTCGTACGGATGAAAAGCGGTCACCTTTCTTAGTGGAGTGATGGTGCGGGAGGTGTCTGACGGCGATCCCGCCGTCCGCCGGCGCGCCCCCGCCGGTGGCCACCCGCAGGTGCCCCTCCGCAAGCATCCTCGTCGGCGACATCGCCCCCTCCTCCGCCGCCATCTCCCTCTGCCCCCGTCCTCCTCCTCCTCCGCGCGCCCTACACCACACGCACGCACACAGCACAGCGCCACACAGGAACCAAAAATCAGCAACAAAATCGAGCGAAATCGAATCCGAAAGCTGCGAGCGCAGCGCAGGACGATCCGGGACGAGCGGGCGTCGGCCGCACCTGTGGAGATCGGAGGCGGCGGGGCGGTGACGAGGACGGCGGAGGCCGGCGCGGATCTCACCCCGGGCGTGGCGTTTCCGCCGCGCGGCGAGTTATTAGCGAGCGAGGGGACGCGACTCGCGAGGGGGGCAGAGGGGGCGAGAGGGAGTTTCTCGTTTTATTTATCGGCCTCACCCCCGTTGTGACGGTTAATCATTTATATGGCCCCCTCTAATTACCATTACCCCGGGTGTGTTAAGTTAGTCCTCCCTCCGGGGTTAAATGGTAAAAATCCAAGGCTCCATTTTCCCTTCTCGTGTTTTCTTTTCTTACCTCCCAAGCAGGCAAAAGCACCGCCATGCCCACGACGAGACTAGCAGTCGGACCCACTTGTCAGTGGCGCAAGGCTGTTGAGCTGCGCGGTTGATTGTTTCGGCTGTGGGGGCGGGGCTGCACATGCAGATAGAACGGGTGTATACACCGGCTGGTGATCGGACGTCACCGCCCGCGGAGGAGCGGCGTATGGACGCCGTCCATGCAGCGAACCCCCGCCAAGCGCCAACGCCCAACGGTGGGGGATGGGCGGCGGCGTGGGGATTTGGCGCGGCCACGTCAGGGCTGAGGGCGGCCACGTGGCTGGAGCGAGAGCGAGACCTTGTTCGCTTGATACATAAACGGGTTATTATAAGAGAAAAATAGCTGATAAACCGGCTGATAAGTTTAAGGGAAGGCGACGCGATGCCGCCGGTGGACGCTAGCTCCAGATGGCCGTCAGTGTCGCACGTTGCTCGTCGGCTGACGCGGAAAGCCGCGGCGGCGGCAAGAAAGCCCGCCAGACGGTCGTCGTTCACGCCTGAATCCTGTTTTTTTCTTCCTTCCGTTTCTGAACGTTGTGTCGTTCGCGCTGGCCAGTCACATGGGCGACGGCGACGGGAGGCCGACGGAGGGAGGGAAGCCCGGATGACGAGGGAGGCCGCGAGACGCCAACGGCCTTTACACCCTGTATGGCTGTATATCGATGATGCTTATCGCCATCGATGCATCGTCATCCATTCAGGGCTTCTTCAGAAAACTAGCGCAGGCCGCCGAGGCGTGGCGATGATGAATTGATGACAGGGACAGGAGGGATTATTCCTTTCAGATCAGATAAGATGCATTAAGCTAAGCACGCACAAGTGGCATCATCGCACTACATCTTGGCTAGATCCTGGCCTGATGCCCCGACAGAGCAGTTTCTTCATCAAGATCAAACACCTTTACTGAACTTTTTTGTTTTCAGAAAAGATATGAAACCTTTTTACTGAACTTTATGCCTCATCTCGCCTTTTCAGTTACACAGAGCAGCACGCAGGGAAACACTATCCCCTGACGCATGATCGATTGATCGGACATGATCGTCCACCACCCACTGGGACAAGTGTTCGATGGACATAGCAGGAGCAGCAGACGAACCGATCGATTGATATTTACATCTACATAGATATATAATAGCGTGGTATATAGAGTGAAGCGATGCTGATGTACAGATACAGACAGACAGTAGCTAGGTATGTATCTGCCTAGCCAGGACTGGTCGAGCAGGTTTTGGAGGTAGAGGTTGAGGATGTATCTGCCGGTGGAGAGGACGTCGAGGCGCTTCTCGCTCGGCTCGTACCGCCCCTTGCGCAGCTGGTACCGATGCGTCACCGCCGACACCGTGTACGCCTGCCCTTCGATCGTCACGCTCTCGCCGCAGTGGATGTTCTGCTTGGCGTAGTCCGTGTCCGTCCGTCGCCATCCATGCCCCGGCACACAACACAACCAAGAACAACAACATTGTTAGCTAGGAACCGGCCAGCAGTTCAGTGATAACTTGTGTGTGCAGTGTAGATGCAATGCAAAGAGTACTAGAGTAGAGAGGTTGAGATATATATAAAAAAAAAAGGCACCAAACTATATGAAGCTCCCTGCGGCAAGCTATGTGAAAACTACGTCAGTGTTTTTTTTAGCAGAGTACTCGTGGCGACAGCAATTGCTGACGTTCTCCGAACACTGAATATTCAGAAGAAGGAGCTCTCAAAAAAAATGTTCAGAACAACAAGTTCAGAATCTGAGCAAAGGAGCTGTGAATTTTCGAACGCATGCAGCAAATTCAGTTTCTGAACATGACAAGCAGGCTGCGGGCACGATGCTACTCCACTCCACTTGCTCATAGTTCCTGTGTTATTGTTGATCGCTGCAGCCTTATAATCAGGATGAATGAGCATTTTGCCGTCTACTGGTGAGTGCTATGTTATTATTCTTGCATTGAATACGTGAAAGGGTTTTCCTTTTTTTTCCCTTTTACAGACAGATGAAAGAATATTCTTGGCATCAAATTAAAGTTAGTTTTTTTTTCTTTGCGAAAGGTAATAAAGTCCTTCTAGCCGATTACATCGACTGAACTTTAGTATCTGCGAGTTGCTTCGTGTCAAACCCTGCACCTGTCAGGTTACATCAACTGAATGCAAGCTTCAGAGCTCGAAGGGTTGCTAACCGGAGTAGTGACTAGTGAGTACCATTCTATAGATACTACATGGCAGCATACATGGAAGAAGAAAACATATGGGAAGAGAGATGTCGCGTACGGTGGGGAAGCAGCGGACACCGAGGCACCGCGGCGGCGGCGTGATCTCGACGACCTTGTAGGGGTGCTTGTGCTCCTTGCCCTCCCTCCCGCTCCCGCTCCCTGTCCCGGCCGTCCTTGTTCTTCCTGCATACCACCGCGAAACGCGGCTGCATGCTGTTTGAAGCAGCAGCAAGAGAGTTTAGCGATCTGCTATTGATTTTCACAGCATGACAGCAGCAACTCTAGCGAGCTGTTCGATCTGGGATATCTATCACATCACAGCGGTGACCGTGCGCTTACATACCTTGTGGTACGCGAAGGAGGTGGACGCGACCATGGCCATGGCGGACTGCTCGCTCGCTTGATTCCTGGTTGCTGGAGAATTTCGATCTAGCTCGTAGCTCGTTTCCTGCGAGGGCGATGAACCGTGAAATCGTCGTGTGGCTAGTCTACAACGCGGTGGCGATCGGTAGGCAGATATTTTGATTCTGTGATGGTTCGGTGGCCGTGGATGGCTACGGCGAGTGATTCGGCCTGGCGGCCGAATGGCCGATATGCTTCGGGCAGGAGGAAGTGTGGAACGAGCCGCGCCACGCGCCGGCGCGTACGGCGTACGTGGTACTTTCCGACCACGGCTTGTTCAGATTATGTTTTGGGCCTCTTCGGGACGAGATTTCTGGTGCTGTGCAGGCCGAGCACGGACTCCCCCGACAAGCTGATCAAAACGGCTGGACTGGAAACAATACCGTACGTACTTCAGTGGTCTCTTTTATCGAGGGCGTGGCTAGCGCACGTATGGCTGTTGAGTTTGATCCAAATTTAGTTATCTATAAGATAAAGGCTAACCTTTGTCTATTAGGGTTTTCCATCTATATATATTTCCTGTAAGCCGTCGTTTTGAAATAAGAAAAGTTGTAAATCCCCAACGTTTATAACCTCATCCGATATAGTGAAGATTTACTAGCTGATGCCCATGATTTTTTCTCTTCTTCCTTGGAAGAGTTTTACACATTAAAATCTCGTGTCCCCTGTGTTTGATCTACTGTTCTTCGTCGTTTATGTTACAAATCGTTTCTAACATGGACGCTAGGCTCCGTCCCGACATCCGTTCCTACCCTGCATACAGCATCTGCCCCGCAGGCTGTGTCTGCCCCCACGTGCAATTATTGCACCTTCACACCCACCCCTGTATGCTGCACGTAACTGCTGCGCCTGCACGCCCATCCCACTTGCTGGTACATGTACACATGGAGTTGCGTGTCTCACGTCTAAAACAGTTGAAACATTTACAATATACGCTTTCAACATATGTGTATAGCAACTGTAACATACAGATAAAACACTTGCAACATACATCTAAAACAGATGAAACATTTTGAATAGACGCTTACAACCTATGTGTATGGCCACTAAAACATATGCAACATCCAAATAAAATATTTGCAACATACGTCTGAAACAAATAAAACATTTGAAACATACACTTGCAACATATGTGTATAGCCATTGCAACATATATAATGTCTAGATAAAACATATGCAACATCCAGATGAAACATACATCTAAAACGTATGAAACGGAGCTCGATACCATGGACTGACGGAAAAATTTGGGTCAGCACTCAGCTGCCATGCAGATGTGGGTCCGCACTCCTCTCACAAACAGGCAAGCGGCATGGCCAGCCCTGCAACTGGCTAAGCGCATAAGCCGATCGACCAAAGCAGCAACGCAAGCAGGCAACATGCGACAGGGGCAACTTGGCCTAGGCGCAGACAACATAGAGAGAGAGAAAAGCAGCATGACAAGCAACAATAGGCCTAGGTGCTAGGTAGCAGAGGGCAAGCGGGGCAGGGAGACCAGCGGCCCCAGGCACATGCGGCTACGGGCCTGGGCGGTTGTTCGAGCCAGCAGCGGACGCAGCAGGCAGCCAGTCCTCTCTTTGTGATCACGCGCATGCACGGGCCTAGCCCCACGCACTGCATGCACCCTGAACGAGTGGTCGCACGCGCTCCCATGTGCTGCCCCGTAGAAAGGATAGGTGCGGACCCCGCCTAATTGTAACCGCGCGCACTTTTTTTTCTTGGGTGTAACTGAAAGTGCATTTGCCCCCTACGTGGGTTTTGGTGTATTGATGACATCCAAATTAGAGACTAATGAGATCTTAATGAGATATATTGCAGCTTTAGTCCCATGAAAGATTTAAAGAGTTGATCTAAGATGAAATGGTGTCCCTCAATTATTGAAGTATAAAAGGCGGACGAACTCAAAACACTCTCCAAAGTTTTTATCTCTTGTTTTGAGTTTAGGTTCGTCGTACTATAAAGAGGGAGGCAAGTTTAAGTGGTCTGAGGAAGATAAAGTGTTCAAGCATAAAAATAAAATCAATAGAGAGACACTTAAGCACCTCACAAACACTTAGATATAGTATTTGGGACTATGGCCGTCGGAAGTTCCGACATTTGCTGGGAGTTTCGGCAGTCGAAAATCCCGACTCCCACCGAAAGTCCCGGTGCTCTGGTCTTAGTCGCCAAGCTTGGCTGGCCGTCGGAAGTCCCGACAGGAGCCAGAAGTCTCGGCTGCCGCAAGTCCCGGCAGCTGCCGGGAGTTCCGACTCAGGCCGAGCTAGCCCAGCTGTCTACGCGTATGAACAATGTTTTTATTAGGCGCCGGAAGTTCCGGTGATCTATGTCGGAACTTCCGACGCATATCTGAACGGTTAGATTTTGCTTATGAGTATAAATAGCTCTTTCCTCTCTTCTAACCGTTACCCAC